ATCAGGATCTACAGATATAAACAACAGAACAAGCAATGGAAGAGAGAATCTCAGGGGTTGAAGACATGATAGAGGTAATAGATTCATCAAAGGAAATGTTAAATCCAACAAATTTTTAACACAAAACATCCAGGAAATCTGGGACACCATGAAAAGACTGAACCTAAGAATAATAGGGATAGAAAAGGAGAAGTCCAGCTCAAAGGCACAGAAAAACATTCAACAAAATCATAGAAGAAAAATTTCCCAACTTAAAGAAGGACATGCCTATGAAAGTACAAGAAGCCTACATAACACCAAATAGGAAAAAAAATAAAAAGGTCCCTCGAGACATAATAAGCAAAACACTAAACACAGAATAAAGAAAGAATATTAACAGCTGCAAAGGAAAAAGGCCAAGTAATAAAAAGAATATCATTAAAAAAGGCCAAGTAACATATAAAGGCAGACTTATTAGACTTACACCCGACATCTCAGTGGAAACAATGAAAGCTAGAAGGTCCTAGACAGGCATTGTGCAGACACTAAGAGATCATGGATGCCGGCCCAGGCTACTATATCCAGCAAAGCTTTCAATCATCATAGACAAAGAAAACAAGATATTCCATGAAGAAAAAAAAAGATTTAAACAATACCTACCTACAAATCCAGTCCTACAGAAAGTACTAGAAGGAAAACTTCAACCCAAGGAAGTTAGCAACACCCACAGAAACACAGGCAAAAAATAATCCCACAACAAGAAATCCCAAAGAATGGGCTGGGCGTTGGTGGCACACGCTTTTAATCTCAGCACTCAGGAGGCAGAGGCAGGCAGATTTAAGGCCAGCCTGGTCTACAGAGTGAATGCCAGGATAGGCTCCAAAGCTACACAGAGAAACCCTGTCTCGAAAAACAAAAACAAAACAAAACAAAACATAAAAAAAACAAAAAAATGAAAGAAATCCCAAAGAATGGAAACACAATACCAACAACAAATGCAAAAATAACAGAATTAGCAATCACTGGTCATTAATATCCCTTAATATCAATGGACTCAATTCTCCTATAAAAAGACACAGGCTAACAGAATGGATATGAAAACAGATCCATCCTTCTGCTGCATACAAGAAACACACCTCAAATGCAAACACAGACATTCCCTCAGAGTAAAGGGTTGTGAAAAGGTTTTCCAATCAAACGGACCTAAGAAACAAGCTGGGGTATCTATCCTAATAGCTAACAAAATAGACTTCAAACTAAAATTAGTCAAAGGAGATGAAGAAGGGCATTTCACATCACAGGAAAAATCCATCAAGATGGGGCCCCAAAGTCAAGGGTACCCACAATTGTAAAAGAAACATTACTAAAACTTAAACCATACATCAAGCCCCACACACTAATAGTAGGAGACTTCAACACCCCACTCTCACCACTGGACAGGATCACCAAACAGAAACTTAGCATAGAAATAAAGGAACTAACATGTTATGACTCAAATGGGCTTAACAGACATCTATAGAACATTCCAACCAAACACAAAAGAATACACCTTCTTCTCAACACCTCATGGAACTGATCACATATTCCATAACAAAACAAATCTCAATATATGTTCTAACATATATGTGTGTTAGAATTCATCAACAACACTTAATTGCAGAAAACCAACAAACTCATGGAAATTGAACAACTCTCAATCGAATCACCAGTGGGTCAAGAAAGAAATAAAAAAAATAAAATTAAAGACTTCTTAAAATTTAATGAAAATGACTGCACAACATACCCAAACTTATGGGGCACAATGAAAGCAGTGCAGAGAGGAAAATTCATAGCACTAAATGCCTACATAAAGAAACTGGAGAATAGTCCCACTAACAAACTAAATGAACAACTAAAAATAGAACAAAAAGAAGCAAACTCACCCAGGAGAAGATGGCTGGAAATAATCAAATTGAGGGCTGAAATCAATAAAATAAAATGAAGAAAGCAATACAAAGAATCAATGAGACGAAGAGCTGTATCTTCAAAAAAAAAATCAAAAAGACAGAGAAACCTTTATCCAAATTAACCAAAAGGTAGAGAAAGAATATCCAAATTAACAAATACAGAAATGAAAAGGGGGGCATAACAACAGACACCAAGGAGATCCAGAGAAACATTAGGTCATACTTCAAAAACCTATACTCCACTAAATTGGAAAATGTAAAGGAAATGGATAATTTCCTGGATAAATACCACATACCAAAACTAAATCAAGAACAGATAAACAATTAAACAGACCTATAACCCCTAAGAACATAGAAACAAACAGTCATCATAAGTCTCCCCACTAAAAAAAAGCCCAGGACTAGATAGTTTCAACACAGAATTCTATCCAGTTTTTCAAAAAAAAGCTAATACCAATACTCCTCAAATTGTTCCATGGAATAGAAACAGAAACCGAAGGAACACTTTTTTTTTTATTATTATTTTTGGTTTTCGAGACAAGGTTTCTCTGTATTGCTTTAGGGGTTGTCCTGGAATTTGCTCTGTAGACCAGGCTGGCCCCGGACTCACAGAGATTCACCTGCCTCTGCCTCCTGAGTTCTGGGACTAAAGGTGTGCACCACCAATGCCAAGCCAAGAGATTCTCTCTTCCATCGCTTGTTCTGTTGTTTATATCCATAGATCCTGATTGTTTACCCACATTTTCCCTTTCCAAAATTTCCTTGGTTTGTGTTTTATTGCCTCTATTTCATTTTTTAAGCCTTGAACAGTTTTGTTTCTGTTTTTGCTTATGCAGAGCAAGTGATTGGGGGTATAGTTCCAGGGCAAGGCATGTTCACCTCCAACTTCTGAGGTATAGCCAAGACTTAACATGTTTTCCTAAAGAAGGCATTAAAAAAAAAAATGCAATCCGGGGTTGGAGAGATGGCTCAGAGGCTAAGAGCACTGGCTGCTCTTCCAGAGGTCCTGAGTTCAATTCCCAGCAACCACATGGTGGCTCACAACCATCCGTTATGAGATCTGGTGCCCTCTTCTGGTGTGCAGATATACATGGAAGCAGAATGTTGTATATATAATAAATAAATAAAATCTTAAAAAAAAAACATGCAACCCATGATCTAACCTCAACTGTTCTAGACCAAATTCCTCATGTTCCTTTCTATTGTTGAGTGTTTTGAGGTACTATGACTGTACCTTCTTAAACAGATGCTGTGGGTACCAGTCTTTCTATCATGAACAGTGCAGCAATTAAGTCTTGGGTGGAGGTTACTTGAAGTGGGGTTGCTGAGTCAAACACCCAGGAGCATTTGTCATTTTGCTAGGTACTGCCAAATTTCCTTGCATAAAAGTAGCTGTTTCTTCTCTTTCTCTTCTTCTGAGACAGGTTTCTCTGTGTAGTTCTACTTGTCCTGGAACTCTGTAGACCAGGCTGTCCTCTAATTCACAGAGATCCACCTGCCTCTGCCTCCTGAATGCTGGAATCGAAGGTGTATGCCACCACCTCCCAGCTAACTTCTTTTCTAAAGTGTGTGTGTGTGTGTGTGTGTGTGTGTGTGTGTGTGTGTGTGACCTGCATATATATCTGTGTAGCATGTGCATGCAGTGCCTCTGGAGGCCAGAAGTGAACACTGGATCCCCTGAAACTGGAGTTAACATTGTTAGCTGCTATGTAGGCTCTGGGAATCGAATATGGGTCCTCTGCAGTAAGTCAGTGCTCTTAACCACTGGGCATCTCTCTAGCCCCCAAGAAGTATCATTTGGTATCACTCCCTACTGTCACCTGCAAAGTCTGAAATAATTCTGTTTCTAGCAAAAGGAGATCAGTCTCTCTGCTGTTGGGCATTGCAGTCCTTGGCAGCCAGCCAGTGTGGTAGGGGGAGAGTGGTAGGTAGTTCTTAATGTTCACATTTTGTGGCTAGAACTCAGCCATAGGGTGACCTCTCTCAACAAGGACCCCTAGGATACAGTATGAATGAGGGCCTACAAATAGGAAAATGAGTTTTAGCTCAACAGGTAGCACTTTGTAGCAGTCTTTTCTTAAACATTTACTCAATCTTTTGTCTGTTTTTAATTTTTTAACTATTGTATGTGTGTAGAGCATGTGTGTAGGTCAGAAGACAACTCTGTGAGGATGGTTCTCTCCTTCCACCTTTCCATGGGTTGCATAGTTAACCTTCCAAGTCTTCTCATTGTTTTTTTTTGTTTTGTTTTTTTTTTTTGTATTTTCAGACAGGGTCTCACTGTGAGGCCCACCCAGCTTGGCCTTGACCGTGATCCTCCTCCCTCAGCCTCCTGTAAAATGAGATTACAGATGTCTGCCACTATTAGGGAATAGTGTCTGCCCTGGGAATACGCATGGTTCAATCTTTGCAAATGAAAATTTTTCTTTGTATTTTTCAAGACAGGGTTTCTCTATAGCTTTGAAGCCTCTCCTGGAACTTGCTCAGTAGACCAGGCTGGCCTCGAACTCACAGAGATCCACCTGTCTCTGCCTCCTGAGGGCTGGGATTAAAGGCATCACTACCTCTGGGGTGGAAAGACCCTTTCACTGGGGTCACCTAAGACCATTGGAAAACAGATATTTACATTATGATTTGTAACAGTAGCAAAATTAGTTACAAAGTAGCAATGAAATAATCTTATGGTTGGGGGTCACCACAAATTGAGGAACTGTATTAGTTGTAGCATTAGGTAGGACATATCTTCTCTGGGCAGGCTGAGGCTTCAGCTCAGCTGGCCATGAAGGCTGCCCTCTAGTACTACAGATCTGCACCCGAGTCACCGCAGGGCTGAAACACACACCCATTCTCCCACAAACTGCCTCCCATTTGCACTCAGTAGAGGTGAGTTTCCCACGAGCCCACGAGTGAGACTGCAGCTGCTGGCTGCACACTGACTCACCTAGCTATGTCCCCGTCCCCCAAGAACTGTGTGGACAAGGAGCTGCCCATGTCAGTACTGTTCCCCTGCCTGGGCCTTCAGCTAATACCCCTGAAGACACAACGCTCAGGAAATAAGACACCAGGACGCCAGGATCTTGTTAGCTTGGATATATTTTTTTCCTTTTTGTCACAGAACACTGTTTGCAGTAGAGGAAACCGGCATTGCAGTCTGGTGGTGTCTTTTCTTGGCTTCTTACATAACCAGAACGTGGTCATCCTTCAGCTCAAAAGCTCTCATGGCACGTACCCTATTGAAATTCAGGACGGCTCCAATAATCTCTCTCTGTTTTTCTTTGTCATTTTTTTTTAAAAAATAAACATTTTTAATTTGTCCATAAGAAGGCCACGTAGGCTCTTGGCTAGCGGAAGACGGGTCAGCACAGTTGCTGCACACTGGGGCTGCCGCCTGCTCCAGGCTGGCAGTTGAGATCTTTTTTTTTTTTTCCAACTCATTTTTATTAAAAAAATAAAAAATGCTCCAACTATCAGTTTTACAAAATCTCTAAGGGAAACACAAGAGCAAGGTGCTGAGGTAAAAAACACCTGAGGTAGTTTTATTTGTGTGTTTTTCTCATTTTAAAAAAATCTGTAAATTTAACGCCCTGGGCCAACAACCTTGTATAAATTGCTATTTTCCTGAACTTTAAATTTTTAAAGAAAGAAATAATTTCACTAAATGCTGATGGCTTATATACCAAAATGTAAAAAGACAAAGTACATTCTTCCTTTATGGAATTTTCCTGTTTGGTTGGCTGGTTGGTTTGGTGGGTTCCCACTTTCGTGCCAACGACTCTTGTTCGCTTGAGTAACCAAGTGTCAGCTGAGGCTGGTTCGTGTGTGTTTCGAGTTTGTTCCTTGTGTGATGTGATATTCAGAGAACTGCTTTGCCTGGGGGGGGTGCATAGATATGGGGGACAGAAAAGGATGAAGGAATTCAAAAGAATGCTGGGCAAAGAGGAGGGGGGAGGGGAGGGGGGCGAGATAAACAGAGAGAGACAGAAATATATAGCAGTATGCAAAAAACCAGTTTAAAACCTGTGAAGCAAAGAAATGGGTATATGGGACAAACAGGTGACAAGGGCCTGGGGCCCCTCCTCAGGGACGGTATCCCTTCTGTTGATAGACACAGGTGACCCACAACTGCCTCGAAGTGTCCTTGACAAGATTTCCCTCCAAGTGAATTTTGTGTGGGTGGCTCAAAGTTCCTTTCTATACCAATGGACCTCACCCAAGACTTTATTCTTTGAAGTCTAGAAAAGCCTGCTTTCTCTTCGAAAAGAAAACAAAATTAATAATTGAGTAAAAATTGGAGTTAGTTGAGTTATTTGATATATTACTTCTAAAATATATTAACGCTGCAGGCACCCTGTGTAACCCACAGGCCACATATCTTAACATCTTTCCCCTTCTAATATGTACATACATGTACAGAGACAACTTTCCACAACAAAGAAAAGGCTATGGAGTTTGCTTTCAGCATGTTCACCTGTTAGTTCAACTCAAAGGGATAGCGCCATGGGAGCTGAGGAGGGAGCTGAGTGGATGGGCAGTAGATGGCTGTGAGCCTGCAGAAGCCAGGGGAAGCTGGGTGCAGGCCAAGTGGTGTTTCTGGGGAACCAGGCCCTCCCTATGCCCTCCTGGACCCCAGGAGGTACAGGGGTCTGCAGACCCTGGCTGCTCTGCAGACTTCTCACTCCTCAGGATGGTCTTTGGTTTGCTCCCGATCTGCTGGCTGTTTGGTCTCATCTGTCACGTGTTGGGAAGGCTACATTCATCTGTTGTTTGCTGGCGCCTGTGGGGGCCTCACTTGCTGCGCTGTGAGACGACTCCCTGAGGGTATTTCTGCTCCTGCTGCTTCACCTGTTGTACAATTTCCCTGATCTTGCGCTGTGCGGTCTGCAGCAGAGAGAGGGAGGGGAGGGCACAGGGAAGAGACAATCCCAGTTCTGGGGCTCCCCCACAGAAAACAGAGGGTCTGGGACTTGGGAAAGGAGAGCCGAGTGCCCAGAAAAATCTCACCTCCCCCAGGCCCAACAGTCTCGGACAGAATTCCTCTTCACCTCACCATGCCTGCTGGGTGCAAGGTGGGGTGCAGGGAGAGGAGGGTGCCCGGGGTGGAGGGGCAGGAACTAGCAGCTAGCTCACAGTGAGCAGATCCGCCAAGGAGTAGCAGTAGGGGTCAGTGACAGGGTTGGAGACTGAAGGCCACTCACGCCTGAGCTTGGCTGTGTCAGCCCCATGCCCCATGTATCCCACCGACCCCCTTTCCAGAACACTAGAAAGATCAGGAAAGGAGGGACCCTGACAAAGCCTGAAGAGCCAGGTTTCCCACAGGCTCAACTCTGACACTGGCCCAGGCAGCAGTCACAGGGAGCCAGCACAGGAGAGCAGCTGGGCAAGTGGGATACAAGCATGAGACCATACACGGCCCTTCTCCCTTGCATGGCATGAGGATCACAGGTGGCCTCTTCTAAAACCCACCCAACAAAAAGCATCAAGACAACTAAGCCACATGTCATCGTAGCACTGGCTTTCCTTAAGAGCAGGGCAGCAGTCTCTGGGGAGACGGGGAAGGGAGCAACAGAATGCTAGGGTCTCTTCCTAGGTAGTTAAACTTCCACAGTGAAACCCAGTTGCTCTGCTGGGGCTTGCTGGGCATGTGGCTTCTCAGAGGAAGGCTGGGAGGGCAAGGGCTGCTAAGCTCCCAAGCCAAGTGAGTGTGCTAGTAGCCTTGCTTGCACCAACCGTTTCCACAGAGGGGTTCCACTGTGTGTGTTGTGTGGCTGGGAGCGGCTCAAGCACGTGGCCCCTTGACACAAATGCAATACCTGAACCAGTGGAAAGAGCTGGGCAGGACGTGGGGCCCTCACGGAATGGTACCTGGCTAGCAAAAAAATGCCCGATAATTCTGACGATCACTTCCGCATTTTCATCTGGCGTTTGGTCTCGAGGCACGATAACTTCTGCGCTTGTCAAGTTCTGCAGCTCGTTTACCTGGAAAGACAAAGAAGGGAGTGAGGCAAGTAAAGACAATACCCAGGCTGTGGAGGGAGAGACTAGGGATCTAGGGGTAGGGAGGCAGGGAGGCTGAATCCTTTCCTTTCTCCTGTGGGTTTGGGCTCCAAAAGGCTGATTGACAGGGAGATAGTGTAGCCCTGACTCCATGGGGTTGAATGCTCTAATTCTATAGACATGAGTGGGGATCCCCAGTAAGAGCCCAGGTTAAGACAGGCAGTGGCGATGCATGCCTTTAATCTCAGCACTTGGGAGGCTGAGGTAGGTGGATCTGTGAGTTCGAGAGCAGCCTGTCTACAGAGTGAGTTCCAGGACAACCTCCAAAGCAATACAGAGAAAC